AGGCTTTGATAGGTGGAATCAATAATAATAATAATAATAATAATAATAATAATAATAATAATAATACTTTATTTATACCCCGCCACCATCTCCCCAAGGGACTTGGAGCGGCTTACATGAGGCCAAGCCCAACAACACATCACAACAGAAAACAGAAAAGCAATTGGTTGCTGTAAGTTTTTCAAAGCTGTATGGTCATGTTCCAGAAGCACTCTCTCCTGATGTTTCACCTGCATGTACGGCAGGCATCCTCAGAGGTTGTGAGGTCTGTTGGAGGTCTGTTTCTCCCACCCTGGACATTCCACAGATACATAAACCCCATTTTCCTAGTTTCCAACAGGCCTCACAATCTCAGAGGATGCCTGCCATAGATGCAGGCAAAACGTCAGGAGAGAATGCTTCTGGAACATGACTATACCACCCTATGTGTAAGAAATTTGCCCTTTTCTGTTCTAGCCTGCAACACAAGGTTTAAAAAGTTGCCCAAGATCCTGGAAAACATAACAGGACAGGACTACAGAGTATATCAAACTGTGTTCATTCTTCAGTGTAGATCAGGTATGGGCAAACTTCGACCCTCCAGGTGTTTTGGACTTCAACTCCCACAATTCCCAACAACCTACCGGCTGTTAGGATTTTTTCTTTCATGTCAGGAGTGACTTGAGAAACTGCAAGTTGCTTCTGGTGTGAGAGAACTGACTGTCTACCCAGGGGATACCCAGATGTTTGATATTTTACCATCCTTGGGCCTCATCACACTATAGCAGTGGTTCTCAACCTGTGGGTTCCCAGGTGTTTTGGCCTACAACTCCCAGATATCCCAGCCAGTTTACCAGCTGTTAGGATTTCTGGGAATTGAAGGCCAAAACATCTGGGGATCCACAGGTTGAGAACCACTGCACTAGAGAATGAATCCACTTAAAATCCGGTTTCTGCCTCCTGCAGAATTCTGGGGTTTGTAGTTTAGGAAGGGGGCTTTAACAGCCTCACTAAACTACAAACCCTAGAACACTGCAGGAGGCAGAAACCGAACTTAAAGTGGATTCATTCCTTAGTGCAGTGGTTCTTAATCTGTGGATCCCCAGGTGTTTTGGCCTACAACTCCCAGAAATCCCAGCCAGTTTACCAGCTGTTAGGATTTCTGGGAATTGAAGGCCAAAAACATCTGGGGACCCCAGGTTGAGAACCACTGCCCTAGTGTGATGAAATATCTTTCTGGTGGCTTCTCTCATGTCCCCGCATGGGGAGCTGGTGCTGACAGAGGGAGCACAACCCGTTCTCCCCAGATTCGTGGGAGCTGAAGTCCAAAACACCTGGAGAGCCGAAGTTTGCCCATATCTGAACGCACCTCTGCCTTTCCAGCTTTGCTCCCATCTCAGGGAAATAAATCCGCGTGGTTTCTGTGTCCAAGCAATAGCTTTAATCCACCCGTGTCCGAAAACTCTCCCAGGACACCAGCGATTGGCAAAGAAAACCCGTCCAGAAGAGAAGTCGGAGTCTAAACCGCGATTGTATTGGAGTTTTCTCTCTCTTGGAAAGCTCCTGGGTTCTAGTGTTTTAGGTTTGCCAATCAAGAAGGGGGCGGGCGAGTCTGCCCAATGGGAAGGCAGCGAGGTCTACTCCGCCTCTCCTGATTGGCTGTTGGTTCCAGCGGGGAGGGGAGAAGGGGGAAGAGAGGCGGTGAAATGCAACCAGGGAGGAAAGAAGGAAGGAGGAAAAAGAAAGTCGGGATGTTCGAAAAGTTGCGCGCGCTCTTTCCTTTGCTCTTTCCTTCCCCGCCGGAAATGAGTGGGGCTGAGGGTCGCTTAAGCGGCTGGGGGGGGGGGGGGGGGGAAAGGGCGAAGCTGTTAGGAATGGTGGGAGTTGGAGTCCAAAACACCTGGAGGAAGGCCCAAGTTGGCCCACTGCAGAATCAATGCACAGTGGGTTAAACCCTTATGCTGGCAGGACTGAAGACAGACAGATTGCAGGTTCGAATCCGGGGAAAGCGTGGATGAGCTCCCTCTGTCAGCTCCAGCTCCCCATGCGGGGACATGAGAGAAGCCTCCCACAAGGATGGTAAAAACATCAAAACATCTCCTGGGGAACGTCTTTGCAGACGGCCCATTCTCTCACACCAGAAGCAACTTGCAGTTTCTCAAGTCGCTCGCTCCTGACATTAAAAAAAAATCCCAATTTTGTGAAATCCTTACTCCAAGCATCCCATTTCAGCATGTTCAGCAGGATTTCCCAAACTTAAAACATCAAAACATCCGGGCGTCTCCTGGGCAACGTCCTTGCAGACAGCCAATTCTTTCACACCAGAAGCGACTTGCAGTTTCTCAAGTTGCTCCTGACAAAACAAAACATTTTAACTGCCTTGCCTCAGGGGAGCTGGGGTTTGAGTGAAGCCCCAACACTCTTAAGAAGAGAAGGAGAAAGACATCATAAAACTATAAATCCCAAGATCCTCATCGCATCGAGCTATAGGAGTTAAAGTGGTGCACTAATTCTGCAGTGCAGATGCACCCAAAGATAGGCTGAACTTGCCCTACAAGGAGAAGGAGGAAGAGAAAGAGGAATAATAATAATAATAATAATAATAATAATAATAATAATAGAACACTTGGACCTAATGTGCATGTGTGCTGTGTTGTTATGTACCTATAGCAATAATAATAACAATCATCATCATCTATGGCAGGCAACCTCTGAGGATGGCTGCCTCAGATGCAGGCGAAACGTCAGGAGAGAATGCTTCTAGAACATGGCTATACATCCCGAAAAACGTACAGCAACCCATTCATCAGGTTTGTCCCAGGCGTTGAAGCCTGGAGAGGAATGAGGGGCTCTGCTTGGCTTCTGACAAAGAGAGAGCTAAGAGCACCCTATGCGCCCAAACTACAGAAATCGAGTTTTCACCCAAACATGAGGAAGAACTGGGTTGCTGTGAGTTTTCCGGGCTGTATGGTCATGTTCCAGAAACAGTCTCTCCTGACATTTCACCTGCATCTATGGCAGGCATCCTTAGAAGTTGTGAAGTCTGTTGGAAACTAGGAAAATTGGGTTTATATATCTGTAGGTGTGAATGTTTCAATTGGCCATCTTGATTAGCATTGAACAGCATGTCAGTTTCAAGGTCTGACTGCTTACTGCCTGGAGGAATCCTTTGTGGGGAGGTGTTAGCTGGCCCTGATTTAGTCATGTCTAGAATTCCCACGTTTTCTGAGTGTTCCTCTTTATTTACTGTCCTGATTTGAGAGTTTTTTAAAAAAATACTGGTAACCAGATATTGTTCATTTTCATGGTTTCCTCCTTTCTGTTGAAATTGTCCACATGCTTGTGGATTTCAATGGCTTCTCTGTGTAGTCTGACATGGTGGTTGTTAGTGGTCCAGCATTTTTGTGTTCTCAAATAATATGCTGTGTCCAGGTTGGTTCATCAGGTGCTCTGCTATGGCTGACTTCTCTGGTTGAGTTAGATGATGATGATGATGATGATGGTTAGAAACACAACAATATGAGTCCACAGCAGACAAGATCACTCTGCTGGCTGATGTATTGGATTATATTATTATTATTATTATTATTATTATTATTATTATTATTATTAGAAACACAACAATATGAGTCCACAGCAGACAAGATCACTCTGCTGGCTGATGTATTGGATTATATTATTATTATTATTATTATTATTAGAAACACAACAATATGAGTCCACAGCAGACAAGATCACTCTGCTGGCTGATGTACTGGATCACATTATTATTATTATTATTATTATTATTATTATTATTATTATTATTATTACACAACAAGATGAGTCCACAGCAGACAAGATCACTCTGCTGGTTGTTGTATTGGATCACATTGTTGTTGTTGTTGTTGTTGTTGTTGTTATTGTTTGAAACACAAGATGAGTCCACAGCAGACACTCTGCTGGCTGTTGTATTGGATCACACGTCGGACACTTCCCAAGTGTCTAGGACTGTGTGATGTATCGGCGAATAATGCGTGCAGATCCCAGTAAGGTGGCCTTTTGCAGCTGGCAGGTGGTAATGTTGTCAGCGCCGATTGTGTTTAAGTGCAGGCCAGGGTCTTTAGGCACTGCACCCACTGGGACCACCTTGACTGTGCCAGATCTTTAAATCTTCATATCGTGTCAGCTTTTCCAGTTGTTTCTCTTCAATCCTTCTATTATTATTATTATTATTATTATTATTATTATTATTATTATTATTATTATTATTATTTAGTAGTCTGCAGTGCCTTTCATGTTTCTTGATTCATGTTTGGGCAACGCTGCGTTTGGTGGGTTAACAGCTTGTGCCGGCAGGACTGAAGACCTGACAGGTCGCGGGTTCGAATCCGGGGAAAGTGCGGATGAGTTCCCTCTGCCAGCTCCAACTTCTCATGCGGGGACATGAGAGAACCCTCCCACAAGGATGGTAAAGCATCAAAACATCCGGGCGTCCCTTGGGCAACGTCCTTGCAGACGGCCAATTCTCTCACACCAGAAGCCACTTGCAGTTTCTCAAGACACTCCTGACATGAAAAAAAAAGTCCGGGGAGAGCGCGGATGAGCTCCCTCTGTCAGCTCCAGCCCTTGTGGGGACATGAGAGAAGCCTCCTACAAGGATGGTAAAACGTCAAAACACCCGGGCGTCCCCTGGGCAACGACCAATTCTCTCACACCACAAGCGACTTGCAGTTTTCTAAGTCGCTCCTGACACCAAAATAAATAAAATAATCAAACAACGTCCTGCTTGGAAGACGCATCCAAGCGTGGAACGTGGGACGAAGGAGGCAAGACCCATTCAACTCTGGAACGAACATTGGCGGAGTCTCGTTCACCGGAGGGCCATCTGTCGGGAGTGCTTTGATAGGACTTGGGGGGCCTGAACTCTTCGCCTTCCTCGTCCTTCTCCTGGTCCTGAGAGAGGGCTCCGGAGCAGAAGGGCGGGTCTGCCGGGCTGGGCTCCGCCTGCCTCCTCCTCCTTCCCTCCTCCCTTCTTCCTCGCCCGGCTGCGAAGGAGGAGGAAGAGGAGGAGGAGGAGGAGCGCTGGGGCCGGGTCTGGTGGCTTCTCCAGAAGCGGGCGAGCAGGCGAGGGCTGGCGGGCTGGGTGGGCGGCCGGCAAGCAAGCAGGCGGGCGAGTCAAGCAGAGGGGCCCTCGGCTCCTTCCTTCCTTCCTCCCTCCTTCCTTCCTTCCCTCCCCTTTCCTTCCTTCCTTCCTTCCTTCTTCCCCGAAGAGGCGGACGGACGATGAACAAGCTCTACATCGGCAACCTGAGCCCGGCCGTGACCGCCGAGGAGCTCCGGCAGCTCTTCGGGGAGAAGAAGTTGCCCCTGGCCGGCCAGGTCCTGCTCAAGTCGGGCTACGCCTTCGTGGACTATCCGGACCAGAACTGGGCCATCCGGGCCATCGAGACCCTCTCGGGTAAGAAGAGATGGGGAAGAAGGAGGAGAAGGGGGTGGAGTGGCCGGCGGAGTTGGTGAAGGAGGGCGAGAGAGAGAGGGGGGGGGAGACCCACGCGGCCCAAGCAGGGGGAGAAGAGAAGCAGGGAGGTCCCTCGTGTCTGGAAGTGGAGTGAAAGGGTCAGGAATGGTGGGAGTCGAAGTCCAAAGCACTCCCCGCCTGCTTGACAAGAGAGTGGGGTCTCTCCACGCGCGCTTTCCCCCCCACCAAGCCCGACACGCACACTTGAGGCCCCAATTGAGGAGCCCTCTACTTTCTTTCTTCCTTTCTTTCTGCCCCTTCTTCTTCTCTCTCTCTTGACTTTCCCCTCTCTGCCCATCTCAATGCTGCGCCGCCGCCTCTGCCTCTGCTGCTGTTTCTCTTTCTGCTGCTTCGTTCTTCTTCTCGGGCGGATTTTTCGCTCATTTTTTTCTCCGATTTTATTGAGCGGCTCCCGGGCGCGGAGAAAGGCCGCTTGCCTCTCGCCCGGCTCCCGCGGGATCCGGGGCCCCTTTCTACGAGGAGCCCGGCCCCAACTCCGCGGGGGGGCCGAGCACGGAGCCCCCAAGGCGCCCGCGGGGCCCCGCCTCAACCGCCGCGCCTGCTGCCTGGGGACGGAGCAGAGCCGAGCCGAGCAGGGCAGAGCAGAGCGGAGCAGAGCAGAGGGGGGAAAGCAAGCGGGGGAGCCACCCCCGATGAGGACGAGGAAGAGGGGCGGGGGGGCCCGAGGAGGAGGCAGCCAAACGGAGACTTTGGGGAGGGGGGAGAGAGAAAGAGACCACCCAAGTTGGGGTGTCCGTGCCCCCTCTCTCCCCCTCCCCTCTCCTGGCCAGCTTGGCAAAGCCCCCCTTGAGTTGCCCACCCCCTCTTGAGAGGTTTCTCTCTCTGGGCGCCTCTTCTCCCTCCTGCCTTCCTTGGCATTTAAAGGCCGCCTCAGGACCCCGAGAGTTTGAAGTCAGGAGAGTTGCCTCTCTTCAGGAGGATGGCGCCACAGACACGGGGGAGAAAGTGGACCCGCCAGACAAAGGCACTTTCTTTCTTTCTTTCTTTCCCCCACATGCTCTCAGGGTCAGTCCCTAGTAGTAGGGGCAAGAGCCATGTCTCCACTGAAACACACCCCGTTGCGACTTCTCCCGCGCAAACAAATAATGATGGGGAATTCGCCCTCAGCGTGGCCAACGCACTCAGGCCTTCTTCACACGTGCCTTTCCGAGGCCCGCGTGGAGCGAGGGAGGGAGGCAGGCTGGGCGCCCCAAGCAGGCTTTCTTCAGGGCAGCGAAGAGGGGGGAAGTTGGTGCCAATGCGGCCAGAGTTTGGGCCAGGAGAGTGGCTTCCCCTCGCTGGAGAGGATGGCGCCACAGGCGTGAGGAGGCCTCCCCAAACAAAGGCGCTCCTTCCTTCCCCCACATGCTCTCAGGGCCAGTCCTCACAGGGGCAAGGTCTCTCTCCTTGCGCTGACTTCTTCCACCCATAACTGGCCCCCCTTTCCCCTGTTCTGCCTCCAGCTTATGCTCTCAGGGCCAGTCCTCGTGGGGGCAAGGTCTCTCTCCTTGCTCCGACTTCTCCCACCCAGAATTGGCCCCCTTTCCTCATGGGGACAAGACCCAGAATTAGCCCCCTTTTCCTTGTTCTGCCACCAGCGTATGCTCTCAGGGCCAGTCCTCGTGGTGGCAAGGTCTCTCTCCTTGCCCCAACTTCTCCCATCCGGAATTGCCCCCCTTTCCCGTATTCTGCCACCAGCTTATGCTTTCAGGGTCAGTCCTCTTGGGAGCAAGGCTTTTCTCCTTGCTCCAGCTTCTCCCACCCAGAATTTACCCCCTTTTCCCTGTTCTGCCATCAACTTATGCTCCCAGGGCCAGTCCTCATTGGGGCAAGGTCTCTCTCCTTGTCCTGACTTTTCCCACCCATAACTGGCCCTCTTCCCCTGTTCTGCCATAAGCTTATGCTCTCAGGGCCAGTCTTCATGGGGGCAAGGTCTCTCTCCTTGCCCCAACTTTTTCCACCTCTGTTCTGCTACCAGTTTAGGCTCTCAGGGCCAGTCCTCATGGGGGGCAAGGTCTGTCTCCTTGTCCCAACTTCTCCCACCCATAATTGCCCCCCTTTCCCCTGTTCTGCCATCAACTCATGCTCTCAGGGGCCAGTCCTCATGAGGACAAGGTCTCTCTCCTTGCTCCAACTTCTTCCACCCAGAATTGCCCTCCTTTCCCATATTCTGCCACCAGCTTATTCTCTCAGGGCCAGTCCTCATGGGGGCAAGGTCTCTCTCCTTGCCTCAACTTCTCCCACCCAGAATTGACCCCCTTTTCCCTGTTCTGCCATCAACTTATGCTCTCAGGGCCAGTCCTCATGGGGACAAGGTCTTTCTCCTTCCCCCAACTTCTCCCACCCATAATTGGCCCCCTTTTCTCTGTTCTGCCATCAGCTTATGCTCTCAGGGGCCAGTACTCATGGGACAAGGTCTCTCTCCTTCCCCCAACTTCTCCCACCCAAAATTGCCCCCCTTTTCCCTGTTCTGCCATCAACTTATGCCCTCAAGTTCTCTTTCCTGGGCCTCTCCAAAGACCTGACTCTCTTCTTTCCCTTTTTGCCTCCCAAGGTAAAGCCGAGCTGCATGGCAAAGTCATGGAAGTGGATTACTCTGTCCCTAAAAAACTAAGGTAAGGACATACCTCGCTTATTCTTTCTGCTACAATGGATTGACTCATTTGTTCGCCATAACTGGAAAAAGAAAGAGAGATAAAGAGAGTGAGATGGGATTGCGTCACTGGAGTTGAGGCTGTGTGGTACTTTAGAAGTTGCATTGTTGCTTTGGTTGTTCTTTCTCATTTGGAAGTCACCGGTGTTTTCTCTTCTTGTATGGACATAGTTTTCCCCCCACAGGCACTTGGTGATTCCTTTGAAATGTCATGCAGCCTTAACAAAGGCTTCCTGTGACCTTTCTAGAAACTGTTTATAGCCTGATCCTACTACTGTGCACATCTGCTTGGAAGTAAGGCCCTAACTGATATTTAAGACGAGGAGTGTTTGGAAACAGGGTTGGAATTGGAAACAGGACAAACTTAGGCCCTCCAGGTGTTTTGGACTTCAACTCCCACCATTCCTAACAGCCTCAGGCCCTTTCCTTTCTCCCCTCAGCCGCTTAAGTTGAAGTCCAAAACACCTGGAGGGCCCATGTTTGCCCATGCCTGATCTAAAGCATTACCAGCCATGTGATGTTGCTGTTTGGTTGATATTCAAAAGTTATTCCTAACTTTGCAACTACTTCATAATTCAGAAATTTTGGCATCTCTTCTGTGTGTCTTGTATCAACTATATCTCCTTTGCTTTTTTTAAAAAATGGATAATAATTCATAGTAGAGGTGCATTGGCTTGTGTCAACAACAGCTCTGTCCTTATTGTTGTGCTGTATTTCCGCATTGGATGGTGGTTACTGTCATTCCATACAAAATGCATTCAAAAAACGTTGTTGGTGGTATTTTGGAATATGATGCCCTCATTGTAGTGTTTTTGATCTCTATACAGTTTTCATTTATGGTTTCAACAGTATAAACAACTGCAGTTTTCTAGCACAACTTCTGAAACTATAGACAGACTCATATGTTCTGCTGCACTTTGTTTCCAAGTTTCTTAGACAGTGAGTGGAAGAGTGGTGTTGTTGATTTTTCTTCTCTTTTTAATAGTCTGTATTTCTTAATCACCAACAAGGCAGCACACCCTTAATATTATAGAGGGGAAAATAATCCCAGTCATATAAATATGTTTTGTTCCTTTAGAAGATCTGTTTTTATGTCTGTTTTTTCCAAAAAGCAGCTAAATTGACTTTACACTTGGGAGCAATGCAGAATATTCCATTTCCTGAAGAGTTCAGAGAGTTTTTTTTATTTCCTGAGTAACATGAAAGTTCCAAATATATTTTTGAGGTTCCATTTAAAAGAAATGGTCATCATGCTAATTTCTTGCAAGGCACAGTGGGATTTCCCCCCAAGAATAAGAAATGACATTTAAAATTCAGGTCTGAAAAGATGGAGAGTGTACAAGTGTGGAATTTCCCACACAAGTAATCCTATCTCATGTTTTTCACTCCCTGAAATATTAAAAAGACGCAAAAGCATGGTAAATACTTGTCTTAAAAACATATTTGTTTCAAAGTGACATAATACTGTTTCTGTGAGAAAACTGATCCAATCCAGAACTTATATAGATTTGGTTGCTGTGAGTTTTCCGAGCTGTGTGGACCATGTTCCAGAAGCATTCTCTACTGATGTTTCACCCACATCTATGGCAGGCATCCTTAGAGGTTGTGAGGTCTATTGGAAACTAGAAAAATTGGGTTTATATATCTGTGGAATGTCCAGGGAGGGAGAAACAGACCTTCAACAGATCTCACAACCTCTGAGGATGTCTACCATAGATGTGGGTGCAATGTCAGTAGAAAATGCTTCAGGAACATGGCCATACAGCCAAAAACTCACAGCAACCCAATCTATATATCTGTAGAATGTCCAGGGTAGGATAAGAACTCTTGTCTGCTTGAGGCAAGTGTGAATATTGCAGTTGGCCACCTTGATTAGCATTTAATGGCCTTGTAGCTTCAAAGCCTAGCTGGTTGCTGCCTGGGGAATCCTTTGTTGGGAAGTGTTCGCTGGCCCTGATTGAGTCATGTCTGGAATTCCCCTGTTTTTGAGTGTTGCTCTTTATTTACTGTTCTGATTTTAGATATTGGTATATAAATTAAATATTGGTATATAAATTATACTGGTATATAGAATATTATATCAATTATTCACATGACGGATACCTATAAAATGGGATGATGTTGTGAGAATATATGAAAACAGCAACACTAGTAGAAAAAAAACTGCTTAGAGATTCTTGATCATGCTGTGGTTTCCTTATCCATATTTATTTTAAGTATTTATCATGTAACTGACTCTAAAAACCCTTGATCACAGGCATGGGCAAACTTGAGCTCTCCAGATGTTTTGGACTCCGACTCCCATAATTCCTGACAGCCTATCAGCTGTTAGGAATTGTGGGAGTTCAAGTCCAAAACACCCGGAGGGATGAAGTTTGCCCATACCTGCATTATCGTGATATACTTTTTGTAGCCTTTTGGCTTGGAGATTTTAGTTCTGTGCTAGGCATACATTTCTGCAGGTTTTGAACTTATGAATATTCAGGGCACTCCTAATTCTTATTCACAAATTCTCACTTATATTCAATATACTGTTCTTGGTTCCTGGTTTATGAACAAAAAGCCTGAGAATTAGTGCACTCCCATTCATACATAGTAAAAAATAAGTTCCACTTGTCTCAGTGGGATTTTCCCCCAAGTAAATGTGCATGCTATTGGTGTTGTTTTTTTGAACAGAGTAATGGTAGAAGTTTATTACTGCATGGTCAAATTCTAAGATTTGCTGCACCGCCAATTGAACGTACTGGGCTTGGAAAACTAGATTTGATCACTATGCTATGTAACATGGTTGCATGTAGATACATCAATGCACGTTTCAATTGCATGGTTAGCAGTTTTATTGTTTGAGTTAGTCACATTTTTGTGTGTGTATAACGCTGGTTTCAACAAGACAATATTCCTTCTGTATCATAGTTATAATCGCAATGCCCTTTTCAGGAAGTTATATCCTGGCTTGGGAAAATGAGATTGTATAATTCCAAATTGGAAAATGGGGTTTGTCTATGTCTTTCAGCAGGGTTTTCTTGATGCTGTTGGTAATGAGAAGAGTAAGTTTTGTGCACACAGGTTATAGACACATTCAGTGATATCAGAAATTGCACTAAAGGAGCCTGGAAACCAATTCCAATATAGTTTGCTTAATAAATTATCTCAAGGATTTCATTGTGGAGCTTGATTATGTGAGGTTAGCAAGATGGTTTCAGACAGATTGCCCAGTCAGATACAGCTGTAGCAATTTTAAAATTAGTCTGCAAAATGTTTAATTTATGGCAACTAACTTTCCATGGTGTAAAAGTGGAGTTTGAGACTTCAAAATAAAAAAAATCCTTGGATTTTGTAATGTGTGTGTATTTTTCAGCCTTGTTCTTACAAAGCAAATGGACCCTTGAGTGTCAAATCTGCAGTTCTGTTTCAGCCACTTTAGAAATTAAAATTATCCTTGAAAGAAATCCCTTGTATCACAATGCAATCTGCAAATTGAGATGTCACATTTTACATTTAAATTAATTTCTGCGCAAAACAGACACCAGGAACGAAATCCCAGATGCTTCTTCTGAAATTCCTTTAATATTGTGATTTAAGCCAGTAATTCTAAAACATTTTTATTAGAATTTGCTCCATTAAAATATGTAAGAACAACAAGGCATCTTGGGATATTTTACAGCCATTGATTGTTGTATAAATTTTCCTGGACAAAAGTGCACTTCTGTGCAAAGGTGTACCGCGAAGGGTTGCTCTTGCTCACAAAACCTCATGTATTTTGGTCATGCTGTGAGATTCTTGATCATGTTGTGGTTTCCTTATCCATATTTATTACAAATATTTCTCATGTAACTGACTCTAAAAACCCTTTATCATTTTTTTAAAACATTAAAAATTATATTAATTTTTAAAATTTAATAATATGCGATTATGCTATTAACAGCAGCTAGATTATTAATTGCAAAATATTGGAAAGGAAAAATGAAAACACAAATTAATGAATGGTATAAAAAAGTCAGGAAAATGGCACTGAGTGATAAGCTAATATAAAATTTAGAAGTAAAGAACGGATTATGGGGGAAAATGACTTTGAAAGTATTTGGAGAACATTTTTTAGAAAAAGTATTGGAAAAAGAAGATGGGAATTTACCTCCAAATGAAGATTTGCACTTTTGGTGGGACTTTAGATGACGAGATGGCTCTGGAGTAGGGGGAAGCACAGGGGCGAAAGAAAACAAAAAAGGGGGAAGTATAGTATATGTCTATATAAATGTTTTTTTCCCCCAAATTAAAAATATTTAAAAAAATTAAAAAGCAGAGAAACGTTTACCAATATTTTTGGAATTTAATGTAAAGAATTAGGCAGTCCATCTAACAGAGAAATGTTCTGTCATCAAAACAATAATATAAGTAAATCTGGAAAAAAAACCTTTATCATTATATACTTTTTGTAGCTCTTTGGCTTGGAGATTTTAGTTCTGTGCTAGGTATAAGATGCCTGTTAAGATGCCACAGGATTCCTTGGTGGTTTTTCCTGAAAGTTCTTCCCTGGTTAAAATTAGTGACATGCATTTCTGATTCAGCAGCTCTAGGATCTGTTTCATAGTTTGCAAATAACACAGCCTCTATGTAAGTTGCATTAAACAGGTTCTGAAGCATGTATTGTATATTGTGTGCTTATGTATCAGTTGCTCCTGTGCTTCTGGCTATGAAAAGATGTTTTCAGAAAGCAAAAAAGCTGTGAGGATTCACTTGTGGTGGTTCTTTAAAAATAGGAAACAAGTTAAGGATCGAGAGAAAGCAAGTAGAAGTCGCCTTGAAAATGGTGGCAGCCACATGACAATGCTGGGGAGTGGGGCGGGGAGGGTCCTGCAGCCGGAGAGGTACTGCAGACAAAAGGCCATTAATGCCTTTCATGAATTAAATATCACCAGTTTTGTATCCGGTGGTGCCAATAATAATTTAGAAAGATTTCCTATT